CAGGAGGTTGTTGAAAAGGCACCGCTGGGATTCGAACCCAGGATCTCCTGTTTACTAGACAGGCGCTTTAACCAACTAAGCCACGGCGCCGACGGACGCTTAATTTAACTCTATGCACAAGCCTACGTCAGAGTTCACGAATGTTTTGAGTTTATAAAATATACACAATTCATAATGCACAAGCAGGAATATGCTGCACATACAAATGTGCACAAATCACTTGCTGCACACGGATCAGCTGCCTGTGAATGTGTCGTGACTTTCTCACTGCTCCAGTTTCACAAAGATAATGCTGCGTTCAAGGCTGAAGAAAAGCTGGGACATCTGAGCGTCACCAGATTTAATGAGTTACTAACTTGGTTCAGGAGCTAATGACCCTTTTATTAAAACACAAACGCTTACATTCACGTTACTGGAATCCAAAATTGTTAGTTTTCTGGACTGTACGGTTAAAATAAACAACCTAAAATGGTTATTTAGTTTCAAGTCTCATTCAAAGTCAAGCTGATCATGCAGGCGATTTGTATGTGCAGAATAGTTCTACTTGTGCAAATTGAAAAGTACACATTTGAAAAACTGGTTATGCATTTGAGAACGTGTGACTACTTTTGAGAGCAATTTATCTTCCTATTCATCCAGAACTATCAAAGCCTTGTCATGTTACGTGTGTTGATGCATTTCAGACATCGCTTTACCACTGCAGGCATTAACAAAATACAGGCATGACAACAGTTTGATCCAAAAATAGTCTAATTTTGGTTTGTATAGCTCCTAGAAATAGACTTGGAGACAGTTCGTTTTACTTTATAATTAATGAAAGAACTCAAGAACTGACAGCTGGAGATAACTGATTTGACAGTCTTGCAATCTGGATCTCTTTCTCTGTGCATCACAACAGCATTTATATATCCAAGGTATATTTAATTTAAGACTGTAGAAGACAAAAACATTAATTCTCAGACTAACGTTGCCTTCGCTGATGAGCATTTCATCTAAACTGTGCTGCTAGGTGTTGTGACTTTTCTCCGGAGATGGTTTACACGCTCCATTTTTGTTTAAATTAAATGAAGTTTTATTATCTTTTGAAATGTTTAATCACGGCAAACTGTTTTGTAGCTATCAGACTGTAGTGGCCTCCATAAGAACTGATCCCAGTTTGTCTTGGAAGGTACCTGTTCTTAGGTTTTCCTAGAATCATTTTACAATTTTATTGCTTGTATATAAAGTAAAACAGCCTTACTCAATAACTATGAACCATTTTAACTAGTTCCTGTTTAGACCAGTCAGATCATTCAATGTTAGTTAAACCTCTTCCACCTCAGGTGTATTTCTGCTCCAATCAAATGTGTACAGATACATACAAATAAAGCTGGAGAAGATTATGGAGGTCATTTAAAAAATGCATTTCTTTAATCAGGTCAATTTAACAATATAATCTGTTCCAGTATTTTATTTTTTTTATGTGTGTGTGTGTCAGCTAAATCAAACATGAGGTAACTGAGAAGATTATGCAAACTACGCAATTTGCATAACTTGTTACAAAATCAGTTACATGACCTTCCTGGACTTTTTGTTTTGACAGCTTTTAAAAACTACTCTCGACAGAGCTGCTCCACGATGAGTGTTTTATATACGTATATATTTTTAGGTCTAAATTAAAATCTCCTGGTAACAGCGGCTGAAGTTTGAGGAGTGCAAAGAAATCTGGCGCAGATGGTTGAACTTCGCTACGTCTTTTACGTAGTTATGAAACTTTTCCAGCGCACGTTTTGTAACAGAGACGTTCTGACCAATCACTGGACGAGCATGCGGATCACGTGACTATATTTTTTTTTTTCGTAAGAGATGAGTCTGTTGTGGGAGAATATCCTCCCACTACAGTCCAGTAAGGATGTGTAAGCACGCGGACAGGAGAAAAGACAAATGTAAATAGCATTTCACGAACATTTCAATGTCGCTGAAACCGCAGGCTGAGGAGAGAAGCGCCTTCTTCATCGGCGCTGACGATAATGTCTCTGAGGAGAAGGAGGGCCACCATGAACTTATACTTCAGAAAGGCAACGCTTTAGCGTCTGAGGACTGTCTGAAGGAGGCCATTGACTGGTTCTCCGCGGCTGTCCAGTACGGTCCAGTCCGTCCGGAGCAGCTCGGCACTTTGGTTGAATGTATCCTCCGGAACTTCCGGAGGAGGGCGGAGGGCCCGGGTGTCCGTGCGGACCGGAGCTGGGACGCAGCGGGGTTCGATTGCCCCGGCTGTCACAGCTTTTTGGGCCAACCGGTCACCGTAGCCTGCGGACACTCGTACTGCAAACGGTGTTTACGCCGGCGGCTCGTGTCCAAATGTCGGCTGTGCGGCGAGGCTGTGAGCGGGAAGGAGAAAGCTAATGTGACTCTGTGCGCACTCCTCGAAAAGTGGTTCCCGGACGAGCTGGAGAAGTCCCGAACGTCGCGCGAAGTGGACTCGCTGTGCAGAAGAAAACTCTACAATGAAGCTGTGTCTCTCGCGAGCGACGCTCTCCGCTCAGGTGAGTCAGCTGGGGGACATTAACTGTAATGTGGCCAGGTGTGTGTGTTGTGTGACGGCCCTCGGTGAGGTCTCCTGGCCGGTGTTTTGACTGAAAACGTGCCTACTGGAAATCTGTCTGCACTGCCTTGCTTACGAAATTCAACTTTCCGCGCATGCGCACTCGGGGAAAGTTGTGTAAGGCAGGTCGTGACCTGAGAGAGGCGTTTTATAACTTATCTAAAGGGAGGAGGATTCTTACAGCTGTTATAAACCACGGTTTCATAAATGTTTCATTAGAAGGCCAACCTAAATGCCAATCGTGGCTCCAGTTAAGGTCATCTGTGGCAAATTAGTTTATTTTTTTATTTAATAAAAGAAAGTAAACAATTAACAAATAATAATATATGAAGAGGGTAAAATAAAAGTGTAGATGAAGGGAAAATAGAAACTGATTGCAGCTGTTGAATGCTTCAGTAGTTTAGAAAATGTATGTATTTATTTTTCTCTGAAAAGGTAATATGTTTTAGGAAAGGCATTGCACTTATCTCAAACCTAATATTAGGCTGCAGAACATGAATGCATGGCACTTTATGTTTAATGACCTTAGTGCATTATTGCACCCACTGATACTGCGAAGATGATACATTTGTGAGTGTTGTCCAGTGGTGTGTTTTTGCTTCATCAGTCTTAATAACAGCCTTAATAACCTCCTGTTAGGTAGTAATAACCATCTCTTATTTTACTGCTGCTGGGTTTGCAGATGCGCTGTAGTCTGGATTATAAGGCTGGCCCGCAGGTGATCGATATCAAATAATATTTTGTCTCTCTGTTAACCTCTTTGACCCCAAACACCACCAGCAGGATGTTATCTGGATATTGTTGAACACACGTCAGTTTATCAAGGCCTTGGTGACCTTATAAGGGATTTGTTAAGTAGTTGACACTTTTTAAGTGGCTAACAGTTTCAGCTTAAAATTGAAATTAAATTTAGATCTATTATTTAATTAGTTGGACAGTTACATTGCCAAAAAAAACCTGATTATGCAAGGCTAAATATTATGTTTTTGTTTGTCACAGCGTGTATGTTCGCATTTACATAACCCGTCTTTTTTTACTCCCTGCAATATTTAATAAACACAGATTGAGCGTTGGCTGGCTTTAAAACACTTTAAAACAGCGCTTTAAAACATTTAGGCACAGCATCATCTGCATCACATCTCCCTTTGGGAATTGAGCAGTAAAACTAATGAACTGTGGAAAGGCATCACCGGTGCATCATGATCTTAGGAAAGATGAAGAAGCACCGTACGTCTGTGGGAGTGATGCTGTCCTCTGGTTTTTATCTTAGAGCCAACACTGATGCCAACAGGCGGAGAGGAGCTGGACATGCTGTCCCACTCAGTCACAAACGACCTGGTTTACTCTGATATCTGTCAAACGTGTGCTCCGTAAGCTCGTTCCTGATGTGCTTCGGGTCACGTCAGTGGGGTTACCCGAGTGCAAGAGGCTGAAAATGTTCGGGAGAAGTTCAGTAAATATAAACTGAACGCAGCTCTGCTCAGTCTAACGTCTGAAAACATTGGTCTGTGAATGTTTTAAGATTTCATGACTGTGGTAGGAAAGATGGTGTCTCCATAACTAAAAGTAAACACACACAAAATCTCTACTTTGAGGTTAAAGTACACGAAAAGCGTGAAGCTCATCTGAGTGGTGGCGCAGAAGTTAGAGAAGGCGAGCCTGTATTGGAAGGTCGCTGGTTCAAATCCCCGGAGGGTGGGAAAGGTGTAGCACCCACACCTGGCTCCACCCTCATTCGTCCCACTCTGGGCCCTTGAGCAAGGCCCTCAACCCCCCAGCTGCATCCCAGGCTCCTTATATGACAGCACCCTGCTCCACATGTATGATGGGAAATGCAAATAATTAATTTCTCCATTGGAGATTAATAGGGTATATTTATTTATTTTTATTTAAAACCATATCATAAACTGAGAATAGAAATAAGATTTTAAGTACCAATTTGTATGTGTGTGTGTGTGTGTATATATATATATATATATATATATATATATATATATATATATATATATATATATATATATATATTGCTGTACAACTAAAGCATATTGCCAATGTGCATATTGGGTGTTATTTTAGTTTAGTTTATTTTGCACAATTAATATACTGATAATGGACTTACTGGTATATAAAATAAAGCCTCCACCCAAATATTATAGAAAAAATAATACAATCCAAGATTACAATCAAATTGATCATAAATTTAGGAATACAGTCATGCAGAAAAAAACATTTAATATTTAATTATTAACCAACATTGGCATTGTTTTTAACTGTTTATCTCAGATTTTATTTTTTAAATTAGATGATATGAAACATAACTGGTAATTGTTTATGTTTCTTTTGCAGATCCACTTTTGACCGAGGCTCGACTGTCCCGAGCCGAAGCGTACACGGCTCTGAAACGGTACCGACTTGCTTTGGAGGACATCAGAGTTTGTTCCAAGTCCAGCTGTTCTGCTGAGGTAGGTCACTCGCTGACAGAACGACAACTCTTTTCACTCAACAATAACACTAGAAACAAAATAATTAACGCTTATAATGCGTCACTTTTCAAAACACAGATTTACAGAAACACTCCAGGTGGCTCCACATTGAAAGTTCATGTTTCTGTTTCAGACTCTGTTCAGGAAAGCGACGGTTCTGCATGAAATGGGTCAGGTGGACGAGTCCCTCCAAGTCTTCCTTCACTGTCTGACCATTGACGAGGACTTCCCCGGTGCTAAAAGACACGTGGAAAAGGTCAGAGAGTTTTCATTTGGTTTCTGGTTGTGTGCAAAAGAACGTATCAGATTGAAGGTGGTCCTGTAAGTTCAGGTCCCAGAGGTTGAAGACGTCAGCCAGAGGACACTACAGGTTAAAGGGGACTTCCCAGCATTTATTAGTTATCTTTTGATAGCTGTGGGTAACCCTTGGGGCCTTCTACTCCTTCAGAGAAGGCCTAAGAATTCAGCACACATGAAATGTTACATAAAAAAAGTGACTGTAATATTTATTTAGCATAAAATGTATATTGTCAAAGTAGTTTTTCATATGGTTTTCTAATTTCTCATATTTTCTGTAAAGTGCTTTGCATTTGAGAAAAATACGTTTTAATTTAGGAAATATATCTGTCCAATCAGGTTCTTTTAAATGTCCACCTCCAGGCAGCAACATGTTTGAAGGTTCTTTCTCCTGGTCAGGAGAGAAGGCTCAGCTCGAAGGCTCTCCAGCATGAGTTTGACCTGACAGGAAAATTAACCAATCACAATGTTGATGTAGAGTGGGCGGGACCAAAGCATGCACTGTAGGCCTGCAGGGATCTCCTTTGGTTCCTCTTGGATCTCTGTGTTTGTTGCTTGTAATCAAAGCCGTCCTGGCAGAGTCACACCTGCACAACGTCTAGCTATGTTAGCACAACGCTAGCTCGTTGCAGAGATCAAGATTTTGATAGAAACAGGAAGTCCAACTCCAGCAGTGGAACTGACTAAATAAAATGTAGTGAAAGACGTTTTGAAGTAGACCTTTATCAACGCTACTGGTGGATCATTTTATTTCAACTAGTCTTATTTGTTTTCAGCCAGCTGAAGATGAATAAAACGATCTTAGAGCAGCATCAGTCGTTGTACAACACTCACCCTATGGCCAATAATCAGATTTAACCTAAAGATAACTTTGATACATTTACTTTAAATGCTTTCTGATGAAATAAACTTTTCAATAACGCATGACCTGTGTCGCAGTACCTTAAGGTCCAAACTAGAATCAAGTCACATTTGCTGCTTATTTCTGTGCTGCAGCAAACTTTCAACCTGCAGGGTAGAATCTTTCAGAACAATTCCAGAAACCATGATTATCTGCGACTGTTGATGATGTAGATGGTGCAGGAGGAGCTGCTCATTAAACCTCACTGCAGACTTTACTGTCATTCCCGAGTGAATTAGAGTTTGAAATGCAGACCAACACCTCGACGTTCTGCTCAGACTGTGAAACAAATGTCCAGTCATGTTTATGGTAAAATGTTTAGGAAGGAAACAACTGTCAGAAGTAAAATAACTTAGTTTTTTACAACACTTTTGTAAAAGCAAATGTGTTTTTATTTACATCAAAGGCAGACGGTTTAGTATAGTCTCTTCATAAACTTTCATTTGTCTGTGCCATAATGTCTGATCCGCTCCACGTGATTTAATGAAACTTCATACACATGTACATCAACACTAGTTGGATTGTCATATACACTTTTCCTTACTCTAGCTTTAAGATCAAGGTCACAAATCAAGGTCAAAGGTTATATGAGGTCTTTGTTTGTCTGGGCCACAACTTGACAGTGTGTATCTTTTCATTACCTCAGCGCTAAAAGTTAAAAAAATCAAGGTCAAAGTCAAACAAGGTCTTTTGCTTTTCTGGGACATTGCTGTAGAGTGCTGTAAAATAGTTTGTCGACGGGTGTTTAATGTGTCGTGTCCAGTATTCTTGTTTCATAAAGAGTGAACAATTGTGACTCATTGATTCAGACTGTTAGCAAGTCTAAAATAAACCTATCAAACTACAAATGAAGCTATACAAACTGACCTTTTCACTGAGTGGACTCATGTATGCAGGGGATAATGAAAAGGCTTTTATTCTGAATATGTTAGCAAGTGTTTGACGTGCTGAAAAATATGTATATATATTTATATATTTATATATTTATATATATATATATATATATATATATACAAAACAGTTCCACCTCTCTCTGACCATCAAATTACACAAGTTGTTAGTGGGTCAGGTCTTGTGACTCCATCTTTAATGACGTTAGAACCACTTATCAAGAGAACACACACAACATTGTCCTCACATATGTGACACGCACTTGACTTCTGCGTTTTCAGGAACAACACAAGTGTTTGCAGACGTTCAGAGCATGAGTGCAGTTTGTCTGCCTCTTTCAGGGTTCCTTCCTACACAGCCTTTGAAAAGTGTAGGGTTTCATTTCTGGGTCATTTGAAAGCAAAGAAATTACACTTGAATAAGCACATTTTATTTTATTCAAACTTTTATACCTTTTCATATTTAAAAAATTAGACTATGAATAAATTACTCAAAACAATCATGAAATAATCATATTTAACTTATAAAAATACTTAAAATTGGCTCCAAATTGCTTCTTTTTTTTTAGATGTAAAACAAGAACTTTGAACAGATGAAAACTGTCCTGAATTCAGTTTTAAATTAAAAAGCTTGTGCATTGATCCTTGAATCATCAATACATCTGCAGTGTCTCCCCTACCATTATTCAAGGAGGGCGCCCCGCCCTGTCCACAGAACCGAGCGCCTGGCCTACTAAATCCCCCTCTCTGCTCCACCACTTCCAGATGTGGAGCGGAGATTTTAGCAGCTCAGACTCCAAAACCACCACTAATACAAACATAACGTTACGCTTTGCTCGTCGAGAACTGCCGGCACTAACGTAGCACCAAGCTAACACGCAATGCAGATGTAGCGCTCTGCTTCTCTTACCCCTGGCCCCCATGCTGACAACTGCTGCTACTACAGGGCCTGACATCTCCATCAGAAGCCAGACAGTTGACGTGCGGTCGTCACGTTGTTGCGGGACGTTGGTTTTTGCACACACCTTTCATAGTCCACGAGACACACGGCCCAGAGCTCCTGGGAAACCCATCCCGCTGCCGTATACGTCACCACAGGATTCTTCCCACCAGACTCTCCGTCCCTGCACCTGATAAAATTAGGCTAAGGCCTTGTGTTGAGAAGGGGCGGGCATAGCTGCTCTGAGAACACAACGACGCAAGTTTTGTCACGCAGCTACGTCAATGAGAGCTGAATTCGGTGCTTCAGATGGAGTATGCAGGGCCTTTATCGTAGCGCTACACTTCTCTTACCGCCATTCCCTCCTTCCAGAGGCCTTGTTCTATTAAATATTGTTCACAAATTTGTGTAAATCTGTGTTAGTGAGCACGTCTTTGCTGAGATAATCCGTCCACCTCACAGTGCGGCATATCAAGATGCTGATTCGTATAATATGACCTTTGCTTGTCCGGTCTGTAACTATTTGATCTTCTCAAGATAATTTAACAAAACTTGATTCACATTTGTACCACCACTGGAGACAGCATGTCGCAAAATCTTTTCATCGCTCCAGCTCTAAGATCAATACCACAAACCAAGGTCAGATTTTACACTAGATCTTTTCTTGGGCCGTTGCTGTAAACAGCTGATGATGTGCCGTACGTGATACGTACGGTAATAACGTCAGTACTCCTCTATGTTTGTGTTGGACACCACCATGTCTGACTCCGGTTTACTTCAATGCTGTGGAGCTCCTGCTCTGTGATCCTCATCTCTATGACATTTTATTTACAGATCTTGTGCGACCTGCTCTCTCCGGTTGATGAGAACGTGAAAGTTGGTCTGAGGGAAACGTCGCAGAACCTGTTGCCTCACCTGCGCACCAAAACTCCAGTGGAAGATGCTCCAGTTCTGCCAGAGGGCCCGGTTCTGAAACAGCACCAACACCAAGTTAGTCCCTCTTCTGTACACTACGTAGACACCCAGGAGGTATCTGTACAGAGACTGACGTTGCAGTCATTTTTATTTTTATGGCTTTGTTCCTGCTTTTCTAAAGAAACCATTAATATATTTCTCACTGTCCAGAAATGGTGTGAAAGCTCGGTGCGCTCCGGTCTAAGTCGAGCCCAGTCGCTGCGAATGCACGGCTGCAGTAGCAGTGAAGAGGGGCTGAAGAGGGTTAGCTCGGCTCCTCAGCTGGGTGACCAGGACAAGGGGAGTCTGCTGAAGAGGAAGCTGTCCGTGTCAGACATGGAACCGTGTGTTGTGGACTGTGGAAGCAGCAAACACAAAAAACAAGGTGAGTCGTCAAGTTTTCTTTTGAACACTTGGTTCCACTGCAGTCTTAGAGAGTGACGCTTCATTCAGAAAGGTGGATAAGTGTTTCACGTTCCTTTTGACTGACTAGGTGTGGCAAAATGCGCCAAACACCAAAGTGGCAAAGCACAACCCTGCAGACATGTTCCTGAGGATCTGTTGGACCCCAGTGACCTGGAGTGTTCCCTCTGCATGAGGTAAGGACGTACTGGTGCACCTCGAGAACTTCCTGCCGGCTCTGCACTGTAGCTGTAAATGTGAATGATCAACCTGTACAGCCCGCTGATGAGTACATCTTACTGCCCAATACAGGTTGTTCTATGAGCCTGTGACTACACCGTGTGGCCACACGTTCTGTAAGAACTGCTTGGAGCGTTGTTTGGACCACACTCCCCAGTGTCCCCTCTGCAAAGAGAGCCTAAAAGAGGTAAGGTTGCAGTCCCAAGATAGCTCGCTGCTTCATGTTGTAACCTGCTGTAATGTTTCTTCTGCTGTCTCCAGTATCTCGCCTGCAGGAAGTTCATGGTGACGGCTGTCCTGGACACGCTGATCAAACAGCACTTGAGTGGAGAGTATGAGGAGAGGACTAAAACTCATCTGGAGGAGAACAGAGAGCTTTCAGAGTAAGTAGCCTTTTCATCCACTCCAGTCTCGAACACCATTTGCAGAAGATTTACAACGATCCCTTTCTCTCCTCTTCGTTGCAGCCTGACAAAGAATGTGCCTATTTTTGTGTGTACCATGGCCTACCCCACTGTGCCTTGTCCCCTGCACGTTTTTGAGCCACGTTATCGCCTCATGATTCGCCGCTGCATGGACATAGGCACACACCAGTTTGGGATGTGTATTAACGACCCTCAAAAAGGGTAAGAATGTCAGCACACACACTTTGTCCTTCTAAAAATAGACCTTCACACGACGTTTTGTTCCACTGCTTGTGAACCGTTTGTCTACAGTTTTCACCAAGTTTCTGATAATTAAAGGAACAACTCGATCTTTGTTTGCAGGTTTGCAGATTATGGATGCATGCTGATCATCAGGAGCGTCCATTTCCTCCCCGATGGACGATCTGTGGTCGATACCGTCGGAGGAAAACGCTTCCGGGTTTTGTCTAGAGGAATGAAGGATGGTTACAACACTGCAGATATCGAGCACTTGGAGGACAGCAGGGTAAGAGCCGCAGTAACGTCTGCTGCTTGTAATGTCGTTTGGTGGAACGCAGGCGTCGTTAACGTGTTGGACATTTACCTGCCAGGTGGACGACGGAGAAGAGCTAGAAAAGCTGCAAGAACTGCACGATGCGGTGTATGACCAGGCCCAAGTCTGGTTCCAGAACCTGAAGATCCATTTCCACAACCAGATTCTGCAGCACTTTGGACCAATGCCAAAACGAGAAGCTGACATTCAGGTACAGGCCCGCTCCGTTTACACACTCAACTAAAGGGATTCCCCACTCAGATTTAGGAACTAAAATGATCTTATTGATTCATAATACACCGTGTACTGTATCTGTTAAAATGTGAAAAACAAAAAACTTTCTTTCTAAATAATTGCATTTCACTAACAAAAGGAGCTGCAACCTTTCCAATCAGAACATCCACTTCTGTACCTTTTTCTTACTAAATAACACGTATACAGAACTGCAAAATGTACTGTGCCATGTCAAAATCCAAGATGGCCACCACCATCAGTGTTTCCCTTGCCATTATACAAGGAGGGCGCCTCGCCCTGTCAACAGAACCGAGCGCCCTGCCTAACAAACTGTCCCCCACCCTCGTGTCAATAACTGTTGGCACTGACGTAGTGCTAAGCTAGCTGCATGCAATGCAGACACGTTGGCTAAAAAGCTGCAGAGGTAGTGCTCCGTTTCCCTCATGCTGAGCCATTTCCTTCACCCCACAGACATCTCTCCATCTCCACCCCCCGCCATTGAAAAAAATCACAGAAGAGATGTGCGCACTATATATTTTTACCTGTCTAAATAAAGGTTGAATTAGTGTGTGTGTGTGTGTGTGTGTGTGTGTGTGTGTGTGTGTGTGTGTG